TGTGTTGGGGTCACCCTGTGGTAATCTTTAAGGTTGGTAAGAGCCAAGATGTGGCTGGCTGGAGGCAGCACACACACAGTCATTTACATGCTGGATGCTATTTGTAAGCTGCAAGGCATTGTAAAGGACACCACACATTACAGGGCAGGGGTGACACAGATACTCATTGGTCTGGATTGTACCCTGGTATGTCACAAATACGATGTCTGGTCATAAATAGAATTTTTTTAAGTTCTACATAGTGATTTTTCTATTGTATCAAATGCTAAGTCAGTTTCTCAGTCCAGAGAGTAAATAGCAATGCATACTTCAAGGCCTCATCTTAACACCAAAGTTGTTCTGCTTTGACCATACCAGTACAGTTAATGTGGAATGATCCCTCCCAGTGTGGATGCAGTTATATTGGTATAAAGGTGCCTTAACCAGTGTAGCTTATTTCCACACAAGAAGAGGAATAAGGTATACCATCATGAGGCATGCTAGATGTTGTGCTGGTAAACTATGGCAGTAGAAAACCATACCCCTAAGCAAAATAGTTATACCAGAACAGTAAATGTGTATAGATCAGACCGAGGGGCTTTAGGAAACAGGGTGAGAAAAATAAGATGGCAACTGTTACAGTTGGGAATTTCTGTTCCCAAGGAATTACCGGTTTCAAACCTATGAAAGAAATGGCTTCAGGGTTTAAAAACCATTTCAGACAGTTGCTAGATTACAAACTATAGGCCTGATTTTCTTCAGAGGTTCTGAGCACCCACAGCGCCTATGAAGTCAACTGGAGCTGTGAGTGCTCAGCACCTTTGTATATCAGATCCTTAGAGAAATTTTGGCAATTTTCCTGAATTACAACTAGGTGAGAAGGATTGCTTTTTTTATTATTATTAGCAGCTAGACTCTGTATTGTGCAGTACTGGAAAAATTGGACCCCTCCTCCTCCTCCTATGGCAGTGTTTCTCAAACTGGGGTCACCGCTTGTGTAGGGAAAGCCCCTGGCAGGCCGGGCAGGTTTGTTTACCTGCCCCGTCCACAGGTCCAGCCGATCGCGGCTCGCCGCTGGAGGCCAATGGGAGCTGCTGGAAGTGGCAGCCAGCACATCCCTCGGCCCGCACCACTTCCAGCAGCCCCCATTGGCCCAGAGCAGCGAACCGTGGCCTGTGGGAGCAGCGATCGGCCGGACCTGCGGACGGAGCAGGTAAACAAACCGGCCCCTGGCAGGGGCTTTCCCTACACAAGCGGCGACCCCAGTTTGAGAAACGCTGTCCTATGGAGCTGTAGTACAGTAAAATATGGACTGTCCTTATAACGAAGAACCCCTCCCATCGGTGTAGGTAGTGTCTACATTGAAGTGCTACAGCAGTACATCTGCAGCTGTGACTCTGTAGTGGTTTAAGTGTAGACATGCCCTAGACCTCTTCTAGGCCTGTTAGATACAAAGATCGTCTCTCACATTTCAACAGAACTGTAAAAGAGACAATAAACTCTGTATTTCTGGGTAAAGAAACACACAAATTCAGAAAACTTTCAAACATTGGAGGTCGTTATGGTTCACTGTTTGCTATTCTTTCCCCATGGCACACTTCATTTAAATGGAGGTTTGTTGCATAGGTAGATTACAAGTGTCTGTTACCTTGATTGTTTCTCTGTTGTTTAGTGCTTGTCCTAGTTGCTATTCAATGTCAGCAAAGTTTTTTAAAATGATTGTTTGGTGGTGATAGTGGTTTTGGCATATAAACTCTGTTATATGGGGAAATAATATGAATCTAAAGTAAGTGTTATAAAGATGTACATAGATCAGATTTCTATTTCTTGTGTATTCTGACTTGTATATGGTTTGTGCTATACTGAAAATCAAAATACTATTTATTACAGCAGTGCCTGGAATACCTAACCTAGATTGGGGACCTGTTATGCTAGGTACTGTATGTACACATAGTAATAGACTGTCCCTGGCCTGAAGAGTTCATGGTATGACTAGGTAAGTCAGCCAAAGGATGGGAGAAAGAAAGTAGTATTAACATCATTTTACAGATGGGAAACTGAGGCACAGAAAAATTAAGTGCCTTGCCCAGGTTATCAGTGGAAGTCTGTAGCAGAGCCTAAAACGGAACCTACACCTCATGAGTCCTGGTCCATTGCCTTAAAAACAACACCTAGTTCTTAGTGATCATTACCAGTAGGTCTCAAAGGGCTTTACAAAGGAAATCAATATCATTATCACTCATTTTATAGCTGGGGGAAACTGAGGCACAGAGAAGGGGACGGGATTTGCCCAACACCACCCATCAGACCACTAGCAGAGCTGGGACTAGAGCCCTGTGTTCGTGACTCCCAGTCCGGTGTGCTACCCACTAGGCCACACACTCCGTCCCTTAGCTACACGCCCATCCTTGTAATCTTTTGAACAATAACAATGATTTATTTTAGAAATTAGATGAAAGTTCCATGAAAACTTTATATTCTTTGAATTAACTCCAAAAACATCTTTTGAGACTCTCTGTTCTGCTTGAGAGGTTTTTTCTCTATTAAAACATAACTTATTACTATAATCGAGGAAACCAGCGTCACACAGTTCCTGAAATTTTTCTAAGTATTTGTGTAACAAATTAAGTGTGTGAACAAAACAAAAAAGAATCATTCAAATTATACTTATCAAGCCTCCACTTTGGTATGCAGGTGTGTTATCAAATAACATACTATATAAATGAGACTTTTGAGGACTTTTTTTTCATTCTACTTCAGAGCAGAAGGGTGAGTGAACTCTTTTATAAAACTACAAAGAACTTCACTTAGGCCATGCTGCAAACATGCTCTCCCTTTTCATTTTCTATTATATTTTCAAATGCTTTGCTATATTTACCTTTATTGTTACTATTCCAGTCTACTCATATTAGTGATTTCATCAGATGTGGAGTTGCTTGAAAAATGCTGGTGTTTTATGAATGAGGAGAGAGAGGAAGAGCAAGAATTAGGATATCTCTATACTGCGATTGGGACACAACATGTAGGCATACCAGAGCTAGCTTTGAGCCAGCCAGCTCACTAAAAATAACACAGGGCCATTGTCAGCAGCATGGGCTGGCCACCTGAAGGTCCGGGTGGGATTGCACTCTGGTGGGCATCCTGTGCCATTGCAGCTGCACAGCTATCTTTAGCAAACTAGCTCGATGGAAGCTAGGTCAGGTCTGCCTTCACATGCTGCAATCGTGCCTCGAAATTGCTGTGTAAACGTCCCCTTAGAGTGGAATAGTTGCTTTTCCATCTTAACATCCAAAGGATCAGGAACCTGGCACTGCATCAAGATGCACAAGTTTGGAGTCAGTAGGACTCCACCCATCTTCACCACTCTCACTATTTTAGCTGAATGATGCTAATAACTGAAGGAGAATTCGTGCTCTAGTACTGTACATTACATCCATTTCAGTTTTAAAGATTTCTAACTGGATTGTAATGAGAGCAGGTCAGAAAACATTTTGATTTTTTTTTTCAAAATTGCTCACATTTCTAAAATTTGAAAAATTTCAACCAGCTGTATAGTTGGTCAAAAATTGAGAAGAAAGTGTTGTCAAAAATGTCCTGTTTAGTTCTTGAATGTTTTCACCATTTTGAGTCATTTAGACTTGGTGTGGATTATAAAGTTATTTTACAGATACAACCAGTCTATGATCTGCCATACATAGGGCCCTTCATTTTCAGTTTTTATTTTATTTAATTTTTCCCAGGAATTTATCAGAGTTTATTACCAAAACAACAAAATCAGGTGAAAATCAGTGCAAAAAACTATTAATAATTTTTCTGGGTAAATATCAGGGTTTATTTTGGTGGACGGAAAGACGGGGGGAAGTATTCAGTAGATTAATGCTTTGAATTCCGTTCCTCAATGTGGTTTGCTGCAGAACTAAAACAGAACTCAAAACACAATACCACCTGAGTTTAGAAAACAATATATCTGTAATCCCCAAATAAAACTTTACATTTGAATAAACAGTTTACTGTTATAGACTTAGAACTATTGACCTATAAATATTTCATTTAATAATTGGGCCACACCATTTGTAAGCCATAAACTCACCTTCATCCTTTTCTCCTGTTTTTTTTTTTTTTTTTAACTTTTGAATACTTCTGAAATGTATTCTGATGCCGATTTTCATTTTCTTCCCATTTTAGTGTGTCAAATCTTTAAAGCATTATCTGCTAACAGCTTGAAATGTGTACGTAGTGGGTGTGAGATTTATAAGGGCGCTCAGATGCACATGCACTTCAGAGCTTGCGTGCATGTCTGCTTGTTTATCGAGTGTATCTTCTAGACTAATATATAGCCTTACTTCAACAGGCAGGTTTGCATATACACACAGACTAATGTATTATCATAATACGTGTATCTCATGCTATGTATTGTATTTTCCTAATAAAACAAGTTATTTTTATATATTTGAATTATACAAAAGTAGGGTGAAAAATTAGAAAAAAATTAACCATACTTTTTGTAAAACCTGGCAATAGTTCGTTAAAAATTGGTTGAAAACTAAAAAGAAAGGGACTTAGCCATACATAACATAAGAATCAATCCTGCTTGCAAGCTAATGTTTGGAATGATGCATTTTTCAAAACTGCCATGTAATATATTACATTTGATGTACACACATCAAATAAAAAAGAGCATGATTTATGACCATTGCCACCAAATGACTAATACCAATTATTTTTTTATATATTTTATTTTATTTTA